CCCCCGCGCCCGGAAGCAACCCCCCCCCAAACGACCACCCGCACAGCCGGGGCTGGGGAGAACAGTAGCCGCATCCCAGCCCCACGAACATACTGCTCAACCCTCCCCCACCCTCCTCCCGAGGGTCCGTGGGGGGGGGAAGGGACCTAGGACCCAGGAGAAGGTCAAACACCCGGGCTGGACCCCGCTGGGGGTGCCACCCAGAGAGACAAGTGGAAGGGTCCGCTGAACCCCCTCGGCCGCCAAAGGCGAGGGGTGATCGCACCCTATCCCGGCCCCTCGAACCAATCTCGGCGGGGGCCGAACAAACAGCATCAGGCGGTGGGTCCGCGGAACGCCCCCCCTTCTGCCCCCTGCTTGGGGGAGCGGGGGCGTGAGGCTCGCACCCAGTAAACTCGCCACACCCCCCCAAAGAGATTAACGCCCACCGCTGCTTGGAGACAGGCACCATTTCACACCCACATGCCAGAGAACAGCCTGCTGCCCCCTCTTCCCCAACAGCCTGCACTCATCTCAAGCACGGCACGGTAGCTCAGGGGCAGAGCCGCCTCTGGCCTGGAATTCCTTTCCCACTCGGGGCGTTAGGGGTAAAGCCAACATTTTAAACTCCTTCCCCCCTCCCCCGCCAGAAGCCTGACGCAGAGTCCAGGAAAACCCAGCATGTTGGAGCCATGAGCGTCCCACGCCACTTGAATGTTCAGTGCCACATTCTGAACCCGTTTCGGTTTCCGGGTATACGCTTGCCAGAGGTGCCCTGGGTGAAAGGGAGCAAGGAAACCCACAGGATGCACCCACTGCGGGACACAAAGCCTCAGAACCGGGGAAAACGTGCTGTCCTGCGGAAGCGGTGTAACAAGAGCACCCAGTACAAAATCCCAGCTCATCCCCTCTGACAGAGCAAACCCAAGAGAGCCAGGATGCTCAAACAGCGGCAGTGGGCTGAGCTGGAACACGGCCTCACTTACCCTCACTAGCAGCCCCCTCCAGCTCTCCTCCGTCCTGCTCCAGGTCAGCCTCCTCCGCTCTCTCCTCCGCATCTTCCAGCGCCTCGATGGTACGGGACACCGTTTTCCTCAGGGAGGTCCCACCGGACAGCACAGCAGACAGGGCATCCGAACGTCTGCTCAGACTCATGGCGGCAGCTGGCGGCAGAGCACTTGCTCTGTCAAAAGCTGGACAGGCAGAGTTGGGGTTACACAGGGGCAGAACGGGTGTCCCGACGATGTTCCCTGTGGCACTGGGGGCAGGACGAAACGGATCCAGACACCAGTGCAGCGTTTACATGCGCTTCCCTCCCTTTACTCAGGACTGGACCTGGAAAGACCTTTGCAGCTTGGCTTTTCTCAGTCCCTGCTGAAAGAGCCAGAGGGGGCATTGGCTACAGGCTGGCAGCAGCCTTGGATATCAATGCCACGCAACCCCAGTACCCTCAGGACATGCTCCCGTTCGTCTGCTCTCATGCTCAACCCAGTCCTCTCGCGCCTTCCTCCACACTGCCCGTTTGCCCCAACATCGCCCCTCTCCACCTTCAGTCAGATCCGGCCCCAAGCGGATCCCTTCCACCAAGCTTGCGAGCGAGAACCCTCCAGAGTTAGCCTGGCTTTGGCCCGCTCTCCAGGATGCATTAGGACAACCGGAAGCGCCACAGGGCAGAGCGTCTCTCCATAGCTGTTCTGTACAGCACCGAGCGTACTAGCCGTGGAATACTGACCCGGCCCCCGAGCAGCGTCACATCGCGCCCTCCCGACAGAAGTCAGGAGACAGCGATGCCAGGAGAGTCACGGGGAGGGACCTAAAATCCTGTTTAATCGGCTCAACATGTCGTTTAACGGATTAAAGAGGGAGGCAGCATCCCAGCCGGAGAGCTTCTCCAGCCCCCACTGGTTAATTTTAACCGATACGGCTGGCCCGTGAAGGGGGAGTTAACCGGTTAGCCATTCACACGCTAGTCACAGGGCGCTCTATGTTAACCACGGTCCCATGCGTCTTGCGGGAAGAACTGTGCACAGCTACTCACCGTTGCAGATGCTGACCCTGAGGCAACGAGGCACCAAGGTAACAGGAAAGAGATGCTGGTGGTCACCCCATGTCAGCATCAGCACTACCCCTACCCCAGAGCCCCATGGAGTTGGGGGCACAAAGGGGGCAGTTACCGTCGAACCTGAGGGTTCAAAAGGGCCCGGAGCAACAGCTGCCGCAGTAGCCGCAAGGGATGTTATGTAAACATGTAACCTCGGAGCAGGCACACGCCTCCCTCCTTGCTGGCTCTGATCCAGAGGGGCTGTGTGCGTCCGTGGATTAACCAATACGAGCAGGCTGAAGGGTTCCTTGTTTCAGGGACGATACGCTAACATCCCTAGCAGCAGGCGCAGCGTCCGGAGCCCTGGGTCCTGTAAATCACTGCTAGAGCACCGCGCGGTGCGCTCAGCCAGCATGAAGGACTGGGGGCGGGGGGCGGACGCACTGCGCTCTGGGCAGCACTGAAGGCTGACCGCCCTCGGTCCCACCCCTTGTGCACTTGGCTCCGCCCCTTCCAGGAATGCAGAGCTCCTCCCCCTTGCCCAGGGGCCCATGCCAGCCGTGTTTCCCAACTCTGGGAAAACTTGATCTAGAGAAAGAAGGGGAAGTGGTGACAACTGGACTGGGGGCGGGGGGCGGACGCACTGCGCTCTGGGCAGCACTGAAGGCTGACCGCCCTCGGTCCCACCCCTTGTGCACTTGGCTCCGCCCCTTCCAGGAATGCAGAGCTCCTCCCCCTTGCCCAGGGGCCCATGCCAGCCGTGTTTCCCAACTCTGGGAAAACTTGATCTAGAGAAAGAAGGGGAAGTGGTGACAACTAGAAACCCCCTAGACCCCCAAGCCACAGCCCAGGTAAAACCACCTACACAGCAGCAAAGCAACCCTCCAGCCAGAGCCCCAGGAGCCTGAGCCGGCAGGAACGGGCCAGCCCCGGCATCTCAATGGGGGTGGGAGAACCCGTCTTCCCCCACAGGGAGAGCTTGGCAAACAGCCAGGCGCAGGTGTGATTCATGTGCCCTGCAATGGCCATTCCCGGATCATAGGACAAGCAGCTTCCCCAGCAAGTCCCCGCTCAGCCCCCTCCGGTACTCACAGCCAGCCGCCAGCTCGTCTGCCCCAGGAAGCGGCTCCGAGTAACTGCTCCCTCGGGTACGTTCTCGCTGCTCTGCCCCGAGCAGGCCCCGAGACCCAGCGGCCAGCTGATCAGCGTGCTCAGGATCCTGGGCCAAGTCCTTCCCCTGCCGGCTCTGCGGCGTTCTCTCCTCTGCACCCACATCAAGCACCGGGCCCTCCCCAGCGGCTGCGCTGGAAACCCGGCTCCCTGGCGCTGCCGTTTTGCCTCTCGAGAGCGTTGGGTCTAGAGCCGAGACGCCGGCGTAGCTTTGCTCCCCGCGCTGCGGCTGGGCGAAGAGCTCCGTGTTGCTGAGGATGATTTCAGTATCACTCGCCCCCATGGTCACGCCAATCAGGGACGTTGCCTGCGACTCCACCAGGTAGTTTTGTGCTGGTGAGAAAGGTTTCAAGTCAGTTCAACCCGCGGACTCAGTCAGGGCCCTAGGAAACCATAGCCATTAGCAGGGCAGGCATCCAGAGTCAGCCAGTCAGAATCCTGCCCTGCCTGGATGCCAAACCATAAGCCCGCATAACAATTCAACTCCAGTCAAAAGGACTTCTGCTTTGCCCACAAACCCACAGCCGTCTGGATAAGGGCTGCAGAGCAACGCAGACGTGGTCCTCCAAGCCCTAGGGCCCCCGCCGAACGGCTAGGATGCTGCGTCCTGCCATGAGCTTCTGAAAAGTTCTCCTGGAGCTCCCCAGCTGTCATGGGCCCACGTGAACAGGTCTTTCCTGCCAAGAGCCATTCGGAGACAGAGACTCCAAGTACAACTCCAATTTGTTTCACTAGCCTCGAAAGGGGGGAATGGCCCCCCACCTTATGGGGGCTTTGAGGAGGAACCTCTATGGTGGCTCTGACAGAGTTCAGGGCAATACTGGTCCCTGCTGGGAATTCTGCCAGGGAGACATCAGAGCGAGCCAGGACGTTAAAGAGCCCAGGGAGCGAGACACGTTAGGAAGGACGAGAGAACTCGGTAGCAGCTCAGTGAGGCATCTTAGGCTATGTCTAGGCTACATGTATTTTCCGATCTCACTTTCGAAAGCAGATCTTTTGAAAGTGAAAGTAGTCTGGATGCGATTTTTTTCAAGGGTTTCTTTTTGAAATAGCGTATTTCGAGAAAACAAATGTGGGGTTATTTCAAAAAGAAACCCTTGAGGTTTAAGGGTTATTTCGAAGAAAGGGTTTCTTTTCGAAATAACCCCACATGGACCGCATTTGTTTTCTCGAAATATGGTATTTCGGAAAAGCGGCCGGCCACAATTATGCAAACGAAGCGCGGGAAATTCAAATCCGCGCTTCATTCGCAATTTCGCTTGTCTGCATTTGCATTCCTCTCTCGAAGGAAGAATGCAATGTAGACATACCCTTAAAGGGGGTGGGGGAGTGTCCCCTTCCCCACATACAGGGGCTGCCCTGGCCATCTGGAACAGCCCCAGGCTGTGGGGCTCCACAGGGCTGGAACAGCCCCCTGCTCGCGACAGGGAGGGAGCTGCTCCGGCCTCCCCGATGAACCTTTCCCATCCCTACCCCAGACTCATATTACGAGGACAGTCTGGGGAGCAGAGGGAGGAATTTAGTAACGAGCTTTTTTTAGAACGTCCTTTGCTTTACTTGGGCACCCTAAAAGCGATGCACCTCCACCTAGCAATATCTGGGACACAAACATTAGGCTCGTGTCCTGTTTCTTTTCGCTGGAAGGAGGAGAACTAATGAAACAACGATGCCCCAAGAAAGATTTTGAGTCAAGGCCATTTAAAACTCCGGCTTTGTCAGCGCCCACTGAACTTCGAGGACCAGTATCGATTACAGAGAAATAACAGCTGTGCTCGAGGCTCATCGTGCTCCTCCTCCGACAGAGGTACCAAAGCTCCGAGAGCCCTGAAAGGCATCCGACAAAACTAGGGGAGAGCTCAGCCAACAGTCCTGAAACGCCCAAAAGAACAAGCAGGAAAAGGTTGACTGGAACCCTTTCAGGCCCTTTTTCTCCAGCGTGAAGCAGCCAGCAGAGAACACGGGCCTGGTTGATTTCTTAAAACCCTGCAGAGTCACCGTTCACGTGACTCCACGAGATCTCCCTCTCGCACCCGGGGCTCTTGCTGAGGACTTCTCACCCTCCCCCCCATTTCTCCAGGAGACCCCAGGTGCTGGGTAGATGACTGCAAGGGCCTGTGTCCCCAGAGGCTCAGTTCCAGCCTGGAGCCAGTGGCTACATTTGGTTTCGTGGGGAGCGGAGACGGAGGGGGGATATATACACCGCACTCCCCAGCGGTGAGGGGGCGCCGTGGGTCCAGGAGGACAGCAGCACAGCCACTGGGCAGGCTCAGTACAGACTCTGGCTATGGGGAGAGGGGACTGATTTCACTCACTACACTTCAATTCCCTCCAGTGCCTTCCTCAGTCCCAGGTCCCTAAGGAGATGCCAAATGGGACACGTGGATTCAGGACCACCTCAGGCTCCGGCATCAGCAGGACGGAGGGACCCTCAGACCTGGGGCACAGAGAGGGAGAAGCAGGCACCACCGACAGGGAGTCACCGGGGGCTAGGAGGAGGTTTGTGCCCCTCAACTCTAGGATCACTTCCAGGGGAAGTGGCCTGGGAATCCTGAAACCTCCCCCTCTGCTTCTCCACACAGCGCCCCCCTCACCCCAAACAGGAAAACACCCACTGCCTTTCATCTGCAACAAGTGCTGCTCCACGCCGCCTTCAAAAGCCTCCACGTTGACAGCTCTGCGGTTCTTCGGCCTGCGGATTAAGCCTCTCTTTTCAACAGACTCTGGTGGCACCGGGGTAGCAAGAGAGATCTGAAGAGACCTGAAAAAGGAGAGAGAGTAGAACCAACTGCCTCGCACTCCCCTCCCAGATGGCTGCGGCCGCCAGAGAGACAGCTGTGCTGCTTTGACATCCTCAGCCCGGAGAGCGCCCAGAGCTGCGAGGGAATCCCAAGCAGCGCAGGGATCAGCTCTGCTGCCCCACAAGACCGCACTGTGGGATGCGTCCCCACAATGCTTTGCTCTGGCAGAGTGCTAGCAGTGTGGCCAGGAAACGTTTGACCGGTTTTCACTTTCAGCGACGTTTGCAGCACTTTCATCTGCAAACTTTGCCAGTGTAGACAGAGCCAAATGTCTAAGAAGCCTTAAACACTCACAGACTTTAAGGTCAGAAGGGACCATTATGATCATCTAGTCTGACCCCCTGCACAGTGCAGGCCACAGAATCTCACCCACCCCTCCTAGAATAATCCTCTCACCTAAATCTCAGATATTGAAGCCTTCAAATAGTTTGAAGACCCCAAGATGCAGAGAATCCTCCAGCTGTGATCTGTGCCCCATGCTACAGAGGAAGGCGAAAAACCTCCAGGGCCTCTGCCAATCTACCCTGGAGGAAAATTCCTTCCCGACCCCAAATATGGAGATCAGCTAAACACTGAGCATGTGGGCATGCCTAAAGGAATCACTGTCACATATTTATTAAGGGATAATAAGAAAGGTGCCCCATCTAATAAGACATCACAATTTATCCATTAACAGTATTATCAATGAAAACTGGTATTCCTATGTTTGCTGTATATCAAGTGATGCTAAGTTCCTTTTTTCTGTGCCAATTAAGAAAATTGTGATATAGTAAACTAATCACATATCTTTCATTTTATCTTCAACATAATGGAACTTTACCTATGAAATCAGGTAGCATCCTCAGCCTTTGTATGTCATCTGAACTTGACAAGATTCAAGGAGAGCTAAACATGCATTTGACATTTTTCTGAATAAAACCTGGAATTATGGAATGAGACAGTGGGTTTTTTATGGAATATTGGGCTGAAATAAACTTGGAAGAAACCAATGATTCATATCACTAATATTGTCCCTAACACAATAGGAAATCGTTAAAAAGCAAATAAACTAGTCGGCTCCCTCCTGCAAGGTCCTGGGGAAAGCAGTGAATACTGGCACTCTCTTCATGCCAGGGGCTACCCACACACACAAGGAAAAAGGTTGTCAACTCCTCAGAGCAGTGGCTAAAACAGCACCATACCAAGCAGAGGAGAGGTACACCTCATGAACGTTAAAATCAAGGCCAACCAGACCCCACTGTCCTCAACCTTTCCATCAGTTATCACATCTGCAGCGAGTGGTAAGGAGAGGTCTCACGGCAGGAGGGCCTGGCTCGGCTCAAAGGAGGGGCCCAGGCATGAGCAGCAGGGAAGAAAATGCAGAGGTTGTCAGTCAAAGCTCTTCTGAAGACCTCGGACTGGCCCATCCTGCCTGCTCCTCCCAGCTGGAGAAGGTCTGGTGAATCAGAGCTGTTGTAGTCATGCCAATGAAAAGCAGAGGCTTTGTGGTTTAACTCACCTTGTCAGAGCGGTGTTGTCCAGCGTTGGCTGGTCTGGAAAAAGATTGAGGCACATGTTAGCTGAGTATGTCACAACCTGTACAGATATTACACCCGAGCAATTATATTCATGGGAGGGAACCACCTTACACACGCTCCACTCCCCAGGAATGGCTATGCTACAATCCCCCGAGAGCAAAGCCAGAATGTTACTTCTGCTATTTTGTATTTAAGGTGCCACGAATTGAGCAGGGGGCAAAAATCTATTCAGTGTGTTTCCTTAGTTTAAAGAAAATGACATGCAGCAGCTTCAGGGTTCCTATTCTGAACTTCAGTGCTACTTATGAACATAGTAGTGGCTAGTTCTCGGAAAGGCAACAGATTGCAGGAGAAGCCTCCTCACTCAGTAGTATTACTACTGACCCCATTCATCTATTAGTCACCGTCTATTGGAATATTAGGCGCATCACAAACACTCTCTATGAACCCGTCTCTTCTAGGAGTCTGGGAGTATATTTGCAACCTAAATACACCCCCGTCCCAGGTGAAGTAGTTCCCAAAAGCTGCCCCTTGTCCATGCAACCCCAGGAGAAAGAAAGCCAAGTTGGAGCCCAGCGGTGCTGTCATGGCTTTTGGGAGAGCCACAAAGTGAGAGCTTTTAGATAATATTCTAAGGCATCACCTAATCTGACCTCCTATTTAACCCGGACCACAGCACTTCCCCAAATTGATTCCTGTTTGAACTAGAGCACACTGTATAGAAAGACATCTACTCTTGCTGTTCACATCTGCAGTGGTGGAGAATCCAGCACAACTTTTGGTAAGTTGTTCCAATGATTCATTACCCCCGCTGTTAAAAACGGACATGTCAAGTGTGAATTTGTCTAGCTTTGATGTCCAGCAGGCTGTTCCCCCCATAGGTACGTCTAAGCAAGCTGTCTGTTAAATCGTCTCTTTGCGAAGCTAAAATGGAAAATTCCAAATGGAAGAATAGCAACTTGGAAAGCCACCCAGAGAATCACGTGGGGAGCTGCTTGGGGGGAAGCCAGTTACTTGTAACTTGGGTGATTTTAGTCGCTCAGTGATGTTGTTTTTAATCCCCACACGCTGGCTTCCTGGCGCAGAGCTGCCCGGCAGACAAGCTGCTCAGAGCTGACCTACTGCAGCGGGGGAGTTCACGAAAGCTCTTGTGAAGCTCCGTGAAAGCCTGGACTGCAGAGTCAAACCAGGAGTCCCTGCTCTGCCTTACCCAGGGCTCGAGGCAGTCGCTCATCTGCTCCTCGCTCAAACTCAGTAATCCCCACACGCTGGCTTCCTGGCGCAGAGCTGCCCGGCAGACAAGCTGCTCAGAGCTGACCTACTGCAGCGGGGGAGTTCACGAAAGCTCTTGTGAAGCTCCGTGAAAGCCTGGACTGCAGAGTCAAACCAGGAGTCCCTGCTCTGCCTTACCCAGGGCTCGAGGCAGTCGCTCATCTGCTCCTCGCTCAAACTCAGAGCAGGCTACCAAAGCAAACAAGCCACAGTTCTAGTGCAGGCCAATGTTCTAGCGTTACCATGCACGCACACTCACCTCCTCCAGACCCGCCTCTGTGCTGCATCAGCAGTAGTAACATGGGCGGGGGGGTGCAATGGGGCATGTGAACAGAGATGGGGAGAAAGCAAGGAAAAGCTGAATTGGGGAGAGGCAGTGGGGTGATGCGGGGGGAGGGGAGATCTCAGGGACAGGAACCAGTTCAAATCCCAACAGCATTGAAGCACAGTGTCTCTGCAGTCTTACTCCAGCACTGTGCCCGTCCCCCTACAGTAAAGCGCACTGGATCTGCAGCACGCAATGGCTACCGGACAATAGAGTGTGCGCTCAGGCCCTGCTGCACCCTTCTCAGCCCCGGCACACAGGCCCGCGGCACTGGAGTGCGCAGTCAGCAGGTGGCCAGAGGGGAGCTGCAGTTTGCCACCCCCTGCAGGAACCATTCAGTGGTAACTCATGAACATTGTCATGTGTTTTCTCCCCCTCCCAGGGACACCTGCTGGGGAAGGTCAGACATGCATCTGTGTTTTGGCTTGCTACAAGTTTAAGGCAAGCAGGATTATTAAAGAGGGCCTACAAAGAAGAACAAAATTGGACCTGTGTCCTTATTTGCTTCCTCGTGACAAAAGACCCCGAAAGACTGGTTAGAAAAGCAGCATCTGCTTGTTTTTCCACAATTGCTCCAGAAGCCTTTGGGCAACTGAAAAAACAGCAACGCGAGTGCCACGGAAATGAAAGCTGAGCAATGGATGTAAGAAAAGGGATTTTTTTAGCCAGACTATTTAAAAACTAGGTTTAACATCACTGACTAGTTAAGATCGAAACAAACCCTTCCCTTTGGTTAAGGTACAAGAGCTGACAGCAGACATGGTCTGAGGCTTCCTGAATTCCATGAACAGAACCAGGGAAAGAAAAGCCCTCTCGTGGTGGTGTTCTCCATCACGAAGAGAAACAGGTGGGTCTGGGCTCCCTTTTCTAAAGCTACTCGGCAAGTCACCTTTAAGGCTGGTTATTTGTCATTGCAAGAGAATTCACAGATGCAGAGACAGAATTCAAACCATCACTGGGTCATTATTTTGAGCAAAACATTCTTTCCTTTGCAGTACCAATTAACGACCGCTCTATGTAAGTGCAGAAGCTGGTCTCTCTCACCAACACAAGTTGGTGCAATAAAAGGTATTACCTTCCAGCCCCCACCTTAAAATCCTAAATCACGTCCCTACACTGGGCAAGCTGTCACCTTTACAAAAGTAAACGGAGGTTAGAAACGTTCCTAAATAGGTTAGAGCTCATGACTGATTGTGGAGGGAAAACACCCTAAAAGTCACCATATGATTAATCAGCACAGTAAGTCTTCTCAGATGGTGAACAAGAGATAATTTAACATCAGTGTCAAGATACTGTAATCTTGCTACTAGGGAAGTGAATGCGCATCTGGCTACATGGTTACACACACTTCCTGCCCTTCTGCATCAGAGATAGTGGGGGGAGAGAGGAGGGAAATGGGAGCTGATGGGCTCCCCCCAGCCAAATATAAATGAGTAACTGCTGAATTTTTCAAGTTTACACAACTAACATTGTTGGGCCCAGAAAAACAAGGCTTGGTCAACATTATGCTAAAGGAAAGTTAACAAAGGCTAATTTCATAGGCCTCTGAGTATTCTTGACCAGAACCAGGAACGTGGTTCAAACAGAGGCGCACCCTCCATGCTGGCTTAGGTTATAAAAGTAAGATAAGTGACAAATTACATATTTGTACCTACTGTAAGTAGAACGGCTTGCTTTGGGAACTGGTCAGTAACTCCCTGTTTCTGTTCCCCTTCGCTAATCTTACCTCCCTATTTTTGCCCTTTGTTTGTGCCCAACTCCCTTGTCTCCTTGTTCCTGGTACCTGCCTTTTGTGATTGATAAGAAAGTTGCTGATGCATTATGAAGCACTTCTGGCCACAATGAATGGTTGGCCAAGATATGCATAGATATTAAAAGTTTTAGAAAGGGGGGTGAGTGGCCTGGGTGAAGAGCTTATGACGCGACAGAACTGTCTTTATAAGCCTACCTGTTACTAAAATCATGCCTGGTTCTCTTTGGAGACGGGCCGCTCTCTATTGTTGTGTGCACTCTTCAATAAAGAGCTTGTGCTTGGACTTTGCTGGTGTAGCCTGTCTCTTTGCGGTCAGACAACGAACTGAGCCGTCTGGGCTAGAGTCCCTGACAACTGCATTTTAACATCCCTACTTGCTATCATACAGATACATCAGAAGCAATGCAGTGTCTAGCTGTTACTTGCTGAAGAGTTCATTTCAGCCTGCAGCTTGGAATCAGAAGCCTATATACATTTATTTTAGGAGAACAGGCAGCAGTTCCTAGAACTGCATCTGTCCAACTCCCCTGCCAATGTTTGTGATTTTGCAATCACATTTTCATTTCTTAAACAGTTTCTTTCCATGCTTTGTGAATCTCTCCACACACTGTGGGAAAAAGAAGAAGTGAATATACAAGAGAAATAATGAAAGTGACAAAACACAAAATGCTGTCAAGGGAGAAAACACGTGTGTATTTATCTACCAGTTCCAATAATCTTAGCTGTTTCTTGTAACAATAAGATGTGAAAAGTTTTCAGACAGAAGCGTGCTAAGAGGAGTGGCTGAAAAAAGGCCTTTTTATTTGTATATAAATAATGAATACATTACTCTAAAAGTTAGAAGTATAATATTACACCTACTATTAGGAGGAGAAAGCTGAATAAACAGACAGCTAATAGTCTGAACATGTTTTGGCCTTATAGAAGCTAATCAAGGAAAAACACGCAAAATACATAAAAAGGAGGTTTAGGTCACCTGCATTTAAAGCCATCACCTACCGCATGCCATAGTCTGGCACCAAGTGATCTTTTAGAACTCCCTGCCCTTTGGAGGACAAGCAGCTCCTGACTCAATCTGGCCCAAAGCGAACATGCAACATGCAAAGAGGATTTGGGGTTTTTTGGGCCAATCTGTGTGTCAGCTCCTATGGACTCATTCTAGGCCAATTCCCAGACAGAAACCAACTAAGTTATAAGGATCTGAAGAAATCAAGCATGTCAATAAGTTATACCATGCTCGAATGGGACAGCTGCTCTTCTCCTTCATCTTTTCTCCTTTTACTCTAAAGAATCATGTCTCCAGGGATTTAAAGTTAATGTATTAAAGATATTTACATGGATATTTTTGAAGTGTTTGTGCAGTACATTGGAACTCTGGCCATTTTAATCAGATCAGATCAAGAAACCCTGGTCCCCCATCACCACCCCGAGCTAGAACTCTGTCCGTAACTTAACAAGTTGACAGGAAACTACTTACCCACTAGAAATTCTCTCCGATGGAGGCTGCGATCCAGACTCTTCAGGTTGTTTGGTCTCATGCACTGGAGGAACTAAAGGTGAAACTTGTGGCTCTGTCAACAAAAAGTACTTTGTTTTCATAAAATAAACTAGTAAGGAGGTGTAATGAGAAGTTCCCCGCTCCTTCGTCGGGTTCGTTTCTTCCTGTTTCTAAACTAGGAAGAAACATGTATTCAGTTTTAGGACGCCACAGTGGAGGCAGGATAGGAGTAGATGTCATTTGGGTCTCCCCAAGTGAGAGGTGCGCACTCCACGGCAAACTTACAATTAATTTTGCAGCAAGGCTTTCTACTGCTAATTGTATTAGGATTAGTAGTGTTAAAAACTCAGGTAGCAACTGGCAAACCAATTGGGTGGAGACATAGCTCAGTAGTTTGAGCATTGGCCTACTAAACCCAGAGTTGTGAGTTCAATCCTTGCAGAGACCATTTGGGGCAAAAATTTGTCAGGGATGATACCTGGTCCTGCTGTGAAGGCAGGGGACTGGACTTGATGACCTTTCAAGGTCCCTGTCCCTTCCAGTTCTAGGAGATAGGCAATCTCCATTAATTAAACCATCTTCCAGTGCAGCTGACCCACAGTTGGCAGAAGTGGAAGTTTGTAGAAAATTCTAGTGTAGGCTTAAGAGACAAAGGCCACATTTCTATTCATGTTCAATGGGCAAGAACATAACAGGCCAGACTGGCTCAGGCCAAAGGTCCATCAAGCCCAGTGGCCAATGCCAGGTGCCCCTAGAGGGAACAAACAAACAGGGAATCCCTCTCCAGTCGCCCATTTCCAGCCTCTGACAGAGGCTCGGGACACCATCTTGGCTAATAACCAGGGCTCTACAAAGTATTGAATCGCGAGTAGATTTCAGCTGGGCACCCCATTCATTTGCGGAGCAGGCATGTGCATTGTGGGGCTGGCAAATGGCTTTCGCTGCTGTTCATCAAGCCCTGCTAATAACCATTGATGGACCTATCCTCAATGACCTATGACCTATCCTCCATTAATTTATCTAGCTCTTCTTTGAATCCTGTTAATGTCCTGGTTTTCACACCGTTTTCACACCATCCTAGAAGACAGAACTACTCTGCCATTTTTGCGAAGGTGAAACATATAGGCTGTGTCTAGACTGGCAAGTTTTTCCACAAAAGCAGCTGCTTTTGCAGAAAAACTTGCCAGCTGTCTACACTGGCCGCTTGAATTTCCGCAAGAACACGGACGATCTCATGTAAGAAATCAGTGCTTCTTGCAGAAATACTATGCTGCTCCCTTTCGGGCAAAAGGGCCAGTGTAGACAGCTCAGATTTGTTTTGCGCAAAAAAGCCCCGATCGCGAAAATGGCAATCGGGGCTTTTTTGCGCAAAATTGCGTCTAGATTGGCACGGACGCTTTTCCGCAAAAAGTGCTTTTCCGGAAAAGTGTCCGTGCCAATCTAGATGCTCTTTTCTGCAAATGCTTTTAACAGAAAACTTTTCCGTTAAAAGAATTTGCGGAAAATCATGTCAGTCTAGATGTAGCCATACTGCCTTGAAAGCGAACATTTCTTGCACAACTCTTGCAGTGGTAATACACGGATAGCTATCTTCTATAGAAATGAATCAAAATGATCTTAATTCCTCTCCCTCCCCACCCCAACAGAATTATTAAAGAACACAAACCGATTCCCATTCCCCAGATCCTTTAAAAAATTGATTTGCTGCTGTCTGCCTTCCTAGATGAGTATTTTCAACTTACGGGTCCGGATGATTTTTCTGAGCACCACCCTTGGTGTATCATTATCAAGATCAGGGAGAACAGCTGCTCTCTTCTTTGGCAGAGATGTTGTGTCAGAAATACTTTGCCTCCTTGGCTCAGACAAGCGCTACAGGAGAAATCAAAGATACACAAGCTCTCGTATTCACCAACAAACCTAAATCTCAGAAGCAAAAGCGTTAAGGACATCTCTCCTCATGAAAGATTGGCCAGCTAAATCCTCCAACCACACAATCGTATAAAGTATTTGCTTTAGATAGCTTATCTCTTTAGTTACCCAAAAATGTTGTCCTCAATTTGCTCTTTATCAGTGTTTGCTTTTCACTTTAGGACTGAATGCTGAACAGCTAAACTAGGCAAAAAACTTTGCTCTCCCATCCGTGATGGATTCGAGTACATTGTTCCCCTTAAAGTACGACATAGGGAAGATTCATGAATGTAGGAGTTACTTTATTTTTATTAAGTTCCTGCCTCTCCAGCATTTATTAGTTAATAATTTACAAGAAACATTGTTTCCTTGTGCTCTCCCACGTGTATATCTGTTGTCTCTTGCCTCAGACTATAAACTGTTCAGGTAGGGATGTCCTTGTGATATTTTGCACAGGACCTACCACAAAGAGGCTCTGATTTCAATGTGCTACTGCAGTGGAAATTAGGGATGTGAATGATTAATCAGTAAGCATCACCCTTACCAGGAAAATGCTTACTGGGTGGGATAGGAGCAGCCTATATCTACGATGGGGGCCAGGAGGGAGTGCTTCAGCCCAGTCACAGCAGGGCCACTCTCCAGTCCAACCAGGCTGGAGTGCCCCCCCCCATCTAAAGTGGTTAGTTAACAGATTAAATGGCATTTTACATACCTAGTGGAAATATTTTTGCTAAGAAGTACAGAATATTTGAGAGGAGACCTGCAGTGCAGTGACTGAAGAACTCTGCTCTTCCCAAAGCAAGTTATGCAATAACAGCATTATTAAATAGCTGAGTTTAAAAGCTGGAAAAAGACAGTACTGCACCATCAGAACTGTGCTATCACATAATGACTCTTGGAAAGAGAAAAACTGCTTAGCTGGTGTGTCTGATCAGTCTCCTACTGAAAAATATCTAAAGGGAGCTGAAAACTGTTTCAAATCACCTACCTTCATTTAAACATTGTAACTATTGTAGTAAAGACCACCCAGTCTACCACCTGAATACTACCTCAGACAAGCAGACAGCCTTGTGTCTCTCAGCTCCAGCGAGAGAACTCAGTTATGCTTCATTGCAGATTCCAAGGCTACAAGGGAGCATTACGATCAATTCTGATCTGCTGTTTAACACAAGCATAGAACTTCTCTGCATTAATTCCTGCTCTAGCTCAAGCCGATCTTGCAGAAAGAGATCAAATAGTAAAACTATTTCAATAGTGCAGAATCCACCACAATCCTTAGTAAGTTGTTCCACTAATTAAATTACTCTCACAGCTGCACTTTACTTCAAACCAGAATTTGTCTAGCCTTCTTCCAGACGTTGGATCTTATTATGTCTTTGTCTCCTAGACTGAAGAGTGATTCATCATCCAATTTTTGGTTTCAGGGTAGCTATTTAGGTTCAGATTCAGACAAGCCGAAGGTGATATCAAAGCATCAGAGGAGCAAATAGTACCTCTTTCCCCACCGACTGCTGGATCTTCTCTTTCATTTTATGGCGCAGGGCCATTGAGGGAGAGGCTGCACTGGCACCCTGGCTGATTCTGGTAGATCTCCGGGTCCTGGGAGAAGACCTGGTGTATGGCATGCTGCAAAAAAACGCAACGCCAGTGTCCAGTTAGCAGGGCCACGACAGGGCCGCGATGCTGTGCTACCCTGGAAGCGCTGCCCCAAAGCGGGGGCAGGGAGAGGAGAGTGATGCCATGGGACACAGGCTGGGGGGGAGGTTCTAGGGGTCGGCTCAGCAGTCACAGTCCTCTCCCCTGCTTGAGAACTAGCGGTACCTTCTGTCCCTTCCCCCAGTGTCTCAGCCTGGGGTCAGTCCCCCCCACCCACGGGCACTAGTGGTCTCCTCTGCCCCCATGACTGGAAACCCCCCACGGGCACGAGTGCTCTGCTCCGCCCCCATGACTGAACCCCGCCCCCCCAGGGGCACTAGTGGTCTCCTCTGCCCCCATGACTGGAAACCCCCCACGGGCACGAGTGCTCTGCTCCGCCCCCATGACTGAACCCCGCCCCCCCAGGGGCACTAGTGGTCTCCTCTGCCCCCATGACTGGAAACCCCCCACGGGCACGAGTGCTCTGCTCCGCCCCCATGACTGAACCCCGCCCCCCCAGGGGCACTAGTGGTCTCCTCTGCCCCCATGACTGGAAACCCCCCACGGGCACGAGTGCTCTGCTCCGCCCCCATGACTGAACCCCGCCCCCCCAGGGGCACTAGTGGTCTCCTCTGCCCCCATGACTGGAAACCCCCCACGGGCACGAGTGCTCTGCTCCGCCCCCATGACTGAACCCCGCCCCCCCAGGGGCACTAGTGGTCTCCTCTGCCCCCATGACTGGAAACCCCCCACGGGCACGAGTGCTCTGCTCCGCCCCCATGACTGAACCCCGCCCCCCCAGGGGCACTAGTGGTCTCCTCTGCCCCCATGACTGGAAACCCCCCACGGGCACGAGTGCTCTGCTCCGCCCCCATGACTGAACCCCGCCCCCCCAGGGGCACTAGTGGTCTCCTCTGCCCCCATGACTGGAAACCCCCCACGGGCACGAGTGCTCTGCTCCGCCCCCATGACTGAACCCCGCCCCCCCAGGGGCACTAGTGGTCTCCTCTGCCCCCATGACTGGAAACCCCCCACGGGCACGAGTGCTCTGCTCCGCCCCCATGACTGAACCCCGCCCCCCCAGGGGCACTAGTGGTCTCCTCTGCCCCCATGACTGGAAACCCCCCACGGGCACGAGTGCTCTGCTCCGCCCCCATGACTGAACCCCGCCCCCCCAGGGGCACTAGTGGTCTCCTCTGCCCCCATGACTGGAAACCCCCCACGGGCACGAGTGCTCTGCTCCGCCCCCATGACTGAACCCCGCCCCCCCAGGGGCACTAGTGGTCTCCTCTGCCCCCATGACTGGAAACCCCCCACGGGCACGAGTGCTCTGCTCCGCCCCCATGACTGAACCCCGCCCCCCCAGGGGCACTAGTGGTCTCCTCTGCCCCCATGACTGGAAACCCCCCACGGGCACGAGTGCTCTGCTCCGCCCCCATGACTGAACCCCGCCCCCCCAGGGGCACTAGTGGTCTCCTCTGCCCCCATGACTGGAAACCCCCCACGGGCACGAGTGCTCTGCTCCGCCCCCATGACTGAACCCCGCCCCCCCAGGGGCACTAGTGGTCTCCTCTGCCCCCATGACTGGAAACCCCCCACGGGCACGAGTGCTCTGCTCCGCCCCCATGACTGAACCCCGCCCCCCCAGGGGCACTAGTGGTCTCCTCTGCCCCCATGACTGGAAACCCCCCACGGGCACGAGTGCTCTGCTCCGCCCCCATGACTGAACCCCGCCCCCCCAGGGGCACTAGTGGTCTCCTCCGCCCCGCCCTGTGTGACGAGTCTGGGGTCAGTCCCCCCCACCCACGGGCACTAGTGGTCTCCTCCGCCCCACCCTGTGTGACGAGCCTGGGGTCAGTCCCCCCCACCCACGGGCACTAGTGGTCTCCTCCGCCCCACCCTGTGTGACGAGCCTGGGGTCAGTCCCCCCCACCCACGGGCACTAGTGGTCTCCTCCGCCCCACCCTGTGTGACGAGCCTGGGGTCAGTCCCCCCCACCCACGGGCACTAGTGGTCTCCTCCGCCCCACCCTGTGTGACGAGCCTGGGGTCAGTCCCCCCCACCCACGGGCACTAGTGGTCTCCTCCGCCCCACCCTGTGTGACGAGCCTGGGGTCAGTCCCCCCCACCCACGGGCACTAGTGGTCTCCTCCGCCCCACCCTGTGTGACGAGCCTGGGGTCAGTCCCCCCCACCCACGGGCACTAGTGGTCTCCTCCGCCCCACCCTGTGTGACGAGCCTGGGGTCAGTCCCCCCCACCCACGGGCACTAGTGGTCTCCTCCGCCCCACCCTGTGTGACGAGCCTGGGGTCAGTCCCCCCCACCCACGGGCACTAGTGGTCTCCTCCGCCCCACCCTGTGTGACGAGCCTGGGGTCAGTCCCCCCCACCCACGGGCACTAGTGGTCTCCTCCGCCCCACCCTGTGTGACGAGCCTGGGGTCAGTCCCCCCCACCCACGGGCACTAGTGGTCTCCTCCGCCCCACCCACATCCCCCCCCGCACTGGGAGGCCACCCCGGCCGGCGCGGGGCGCAGTGCATTGTGGGACAGGAGGTTGCTGGGCCCAGCCGCGAGGCGCTGTGGCTCTGGCGGTCCCTGTGTACTGGAGGAGCAGAGCAACGCC